GGGGAGAAACCAATGATGAGAGTCACTGATGGGCTGCCTCCTGCACGCCCCCGACTGGGGATCGAGTCCACAACCCGGGCATGTGTCCTGACCAGGAATTGAACCCTGATCTTCTGGGTCATAGGTTGATGCTCAACCGCTGAGCCACGCCAGTTTTGTTAACTACTTTTGGGAAGAATTTCAAACCTAGAGAGGTGGTGAGAATGGGCAGTGGAGCTTCACCTGTCCCCCTGCCCAGCCTTGTCACATGGAGCTGCCCCGTCCTGCCTCGTGCTGGTGGAGCACCGCATGGCCTCGGCTGCCCTCACCTTGGGGTGTCCAGGATTGGCTGGTTCTGCTGGTGGAGTGACTGGGCCTCTGCATCCCCTGCCCCCAGGCTTACTCTGCTCTTGTCCTGAGCTAGCTTTACTTGTCAGCACCGCAGGGACTCTGGTGTCCTGTGCCCCCAACTCTACCCTCACTGTGCGTCCCTGAGGGTGAACTGCATCATGGGCAGGTGGTGATGGAGCCTCATTCATGGTCGCTCCTTTGGGTCCCAGCCTCTCTCCTGCTGGGTGGTGGCCTGGCTCCCCTTGTGCAAACTGCCTAGACTGGGGTCACTGTTCCTGCAAAGAGTCCTGCTCCCTTGCAGTTGGGAGGGGAAGGGAGAGGGTCATAGAAGCCAAGGTCTTGGGCACTTAGAAGGGCTTCATAGCAACAAGCTGGATGCTGCTGCCCAGGTGCCAGCTTGGAGCTGCTGCCTCCCATGGATCCCTCCTGATTGTGCCAGTCAAGGGAAGTCACCCTGTGTGTGCTGGCAAGATGAGGCTAGCTAGACTAGACTAGGGGGTGGACCCTGCCCTCCCATCCAGAAGGCTGAGGGCTCTGTCAGGAGAATGTTCTGAGTCCAGCAGTTTGGAGGCCTGAGGCTGCAGGTGAGCCAGGCCCAGGGTCGGCTCCCAGTGGAGCTACACGGAGACCACTTTAAGCTGCCAAATCTATGGTCTCTTGGCAGCAAGATAGCTCATAAAAGCATCACACCTGTCACGGAACCTCGCGGGGACCCCACAAGGAAAGACAAGAACCCTTCTACCCAAAAAGTTTTAATAATTATAAAGTGTACAGAATGTTCTTACAGAAGTTGATTTGAGTATTTCTCTTCAGTTAAAGCTAAGGCACCAGGAGAGCGCCCCAGCGAGCTGGCCAGCCCCCTGCAGGTGGCCCAGCGGTTTCAGGAGCTGGGGGGAGGGCAGCGGGCTCAGGAGATGATCTTCAGGCTCGGCTTCTCCTCCACCACGGCCTGCAGGCGGTCTTCGGTCTCCTCTGACCAGTAGGTGTCGAACAGGCTGTGCAGGGAAAAGGGAGAGTGTGGGCGTGGCACAGCCAGGGGCCACCCCACCTGTGTCTTCCCATCTGGCCAAGCCAGACATGGCCCTGGCCACTCCGCCCGCTGCACCACTTACATCAGCTTCTCCAGGGTGCAGCTGGGCTGCTGGGCGCTCTCCGCCAGCCTCAGGACGCCCACCTCACTCATGCAGTTGTTGCTGAGGTCCAGCTCACGCAGGCTGTGGTTGGCCAGCAGCAGTGCGGCCAGGCTGTGGCAGCCCTGGTCGGTCACTTCACAGTCCCCCAGCCTGGGCGACAGCAGGGCAGAGGTCAGGATGAGGGCACACCTTCCAAGCTGTGCCACCTCAGAACATGGGATGGCATGGGGTCCACAATGCCCTGCCCCTGAGCCCTGACATGTCACGTCTTAACACACTGGAGACCCCCAGCCTGAGCTGGCCCTAGACCACAGTCCCCACGGCCCTGAATGGACCATGCAGGTGGAGGCGCACAGAGCTCCCTGCGCAGGCACAGCCAACTGAGATGGACCTGGGCTGCAGGGACACCTGGACTCGGCCCTGACCTGTGGGAGAGGGTGGGCGCTCGGCCTTCTGGAAGCCAGTGTTGGGTAACAGGAGGGCTGCACACTCCCCACACACCCCCTCCCGCTTCCTCACCAGCCAGAGCATGAGCCACAGGCAGCAGCGAGAGGAACCGAGGGTGAGATCAAAGGCCTGCAGGCTCCAGACAAAGGCCAGGGTGCCCCTACCCAAGCCTTGTCCTGCACTCCACCTGGGGGACCAGGTCCCAGGAGAGCCACCTGGAGGCACAGCCAGGACAGAGGACAATGACAAACCTTGGGAAGGGCAGAGGACCAGAGGCTGGTCTGAGCCCAGACTGGATTCTTGGGCCCTCCAGTCAGAAATAAACCAAAGGCCTGACACTGAGCATAACCGAGTCCAGCACAGAGAACGACCAGGACCCACGAAAAGAACACAACCCCAGAACAGACAAATCAGCCCAGAGAAAGTAGGGGTGCAGACTCAGGACCGGAGGGGCCCGTCCTCCCTGGAGGCAGAAGCAGCCTGGACTTGCCCCTCAGGAGTTAACAGTTCAGAGGACCTGGAGGGACGTGTGGGGCCAGGGCTCCTGTGAGGAAGGACCAGGACAGTGACGACGGGCCCTGAACTGGGTGCGGAGCCCCCACCCACGCTTGCTCACCAGAGCGCCCGCAGGGTCGTGCCAGGCTGGCGCAGGCCCTGGCACAGCTCCTCCACGCCAACATCCCCCAGATTGTTGCTGCTCATCTGCAGCTCCTGGAGGCTCCTGTTCTGGGCCAGCATCGCACCGACACGTGGGCAGCAGGCGGCTGTGAGGCTGCAGGACTTCACCCTGGGAGACACGGAGGATGACTGCAGCCCAGCCTCGGGCACCCCAGGCATGCCCCACATCCCCGCCCGCCAGAGAAAGTGCCTTCCCACCTCCGTGGCATGACAGGCCTGCCTCTCACTCTTGGGCACCAGTGGGTCCTGGTCCCCGGCCCCCAGCACTGTCCCCACCAGCCATCCTCCTCCCGGGCCACCTGGCCTGAGGGCGCTCATCCTGGCCTCCATTCCCTCCGTGCACGGGGCCCCTCGGGCATCTTCACCTGCACAGGCCCCCTGTCCCCACCGCTGCCCAGGCTGCACTCACCACAGGGACTCCAGTTGGCAGCTGGGCTGCACCAGGCTCTCACACAGCAGCTGGATGCCTTCGTTCCCCACCGCGTTGCCAGCCAGGCTGAGCTCCTTCAGGCTCTCCTTGGCTCTGAGGACTCGGCAGAGGTCCCTGCAGCCACTGACCGTGATGTCACACTCCCAGAGCCTGCAGGGGCAGGGGACACGTCACCGCAGGGCCACTGGGGCGACACTGGCCCAGTGAGTGCAACATTCGTGGATATTCCCCACCCCGCACGGCCATGGCCATGACCAGGGCCTGGGAGGGGTGGGGAGGGTGGTCCAGGGACACACATGTGCAGAGGTACCCTGGAGCCCTGTGGTCACCTATCCAGAGTCCGACTCACCACAGGGTCTTGAGCCGGGAGCTGGGGCTCAGCAGCCCAGGGCACAGCTCTGTGATGCCCGCATCGCCCAGTTTGTTGTTGCCCAGCTCCAGGGTGCGCAGCGAGGCCTTGGCAGCCACGATGCCACACAGGTCCTGACAGTTGGCCGAGGTGAGGCCACAGCCCTCCAGCCTGGGTACAGGAGGTGTTATGGAAGCCGGGAGAGCCCCCCCCCCCC